ACACGAGACAGGTGAGGAGGTAGGAGAAAACACAGAGGCACCAGGTGAACACAATCGGGTAATCAGGGAGGGAAAACAGACAGAAAGCAACAGGCAGGAAACGGGGGTGAACAATTTACAAAATAAAACAGGAAACCCAAAGATAGAAAAAGACAAGACAAAACAACAACACAGACAGATCGTGACAATAAAGGTATTTTAAACCCATATGAGTGTCTGTATGAGTAGAATTCTCAAAAAAAACATAATCTCAACTGATATTCTTTTGATAATGTATGTAATAGCTAATGTAAATTTGTTTTACTTCAGTTCACTGAGCTTCCCCTGAAACTGCTTGAAGCCCTCCTGGGGATGCCTGCCTCACACATTGAAAACATCTGTCACATCTATAAATAATTCATACAAAGTTGAAAGTTCCATCAATATATGTTGCCAACATAAAATATAACAAGAACTGTATCACCTTTACCCCTATAAAGTTGATATTGCACACAGCCTTTAATATTATCTCATCTTACACAAAGTGAGTGACATTAGCTCATAGGTATTTCTGTCCATCGAGAGAATATAAGACTGGGAGGAGAGGGAAATATATAGTTTGCTCATAGTGTATTGCATTGATGACATCCTGTATTTTTGTCAGCCGATCAAAAAAATAAATAACAAATAAGCTCTGTGGCAAACACACATTTATGATACCTACACATTTGGTTCAGCAGGATATTCTCCACTTATTAACACCACTTTGGGATTTTTAAAGTGGTTATGCAAAAGGCAGAAGTAGAAAGCTAGTTAAGCTATTAACAAACTACATCACGTTGCATGGCTGCGCGTAGTAGTTTTATGTAGTCACTTTTCAGCAACTGTTGTTTTCATGACAAATAGAATATTCAGACATTTGCAAGTGGGGTAATTACTGACATATTTTAAGTGGTTGAACAAAACATGAAAAGGAGTCATTCCTGCACCACTCCAAAGCAACATTCTACACTATGTTCACCGGCTAAATTCTAAGTGAATATGGTAGCTTGCACCGTGTAGTGCCAGACAGGTAGCACACAGTGGGTTAGTGAGCACTGACATGTCCTTTTATACAGGAAGTTAGATAATATGTATTACTATGACCAAAACCTTTCATATTGCACACAGTATTTGCCTTTATTGTCCAAAAGAATATTGGTTCAGCTCTCAAAAGTCATTTTTAATACCTGTAAATGTGCCATTAAATGTAATTTCCTGGTTTAATGACCACAAATCAATGAGATCACAGAGTACAAATTGGGCTTTCTTGGTCCCTTATTGTTTATTACATTTGGAACAACCTTTCCATTAAACCTGAACGCACTGCTTTATTTCTCCCTACTCCCTAACAATTGAATTAGATTTTTACATTACATTACATTGCATTTAGCTGACGCTTTTATCCAAAGCGACTTACAATAAGTGCGTTCGACCAACAAGATACAAACTTGAAGAAAACCGAATCATATAAGTACATCAGGTTTCATAGAGCTAAAACATTTCAAGTGCTACTCAACTGGCTTTAGATAAGCCGGTCCTTTATTAGTATATAAGTGCTTTGTTAGCAATTCTATCGCTCGAAGTGGAGTCGAAAGAGATGAGCTTTCAGTCTGCGCCGGAAGATGTGCAAGATTTCCACCTGCTTTTCACCCCCTCCTTAATCTGCCATTCCCAGAGAGATTGTTTTAGCTCTGTTTAGCTGGAAAAACCGAAACCTCGTTAAACAAATCTCTAGCAAACTCTGAACAGGTGCTACACAATACAAAATAAATTATAATCTGCAGAAGCCACCGTTCTTTGCCAGCTAGCTATGTTTATGGATTTTCTTTTCACTTACCACCATTGTCAAACTGCTTCTTCTTGGATGTTTTCTTTCATTATGGATTCTTTGAAACACCATTCTGCCATAAAGGATCACATACTATCATATCATAAAACAGTCTGTCAACCCCTATCAGCTGTCCATTCAGGCATTCTGTGGTGGGAGAAAATGTCTTATAGGCAAATAATGAAAACCTGAAAATAAAGAAAAAGGGTTCTGTATGCCAGATATGGATTGGGACATCAAACAGACTGCTGGTCTCAAGCAGAATCAAAGCTACATCATTGTTCAAGGCGGTGCTGAAATAATATTTTAATCCATGATTTACAGTCTTGGGGAATCATCTTTATTTGATCAGTTTCTGCACTGACACCTGTTGATCATGAAATGCTGAACATGTTTTAAGAGGAGCTCTACATCTCTGTAAAAACAAATACATTTGTGTCTGTAAGAGAACTCTTGGTCTTTTAGGATTTCCCACCAGAAAAAGCAAAAGAAACACAAGGATAGGTATTTTTCCTGGGTATTTTTCTGATATGAGCATAAATATGTTACAGAGAGGTTACACCAACTGAGCCATGGTAAGAATTCATGTTTCCTGACACACAACTCTCCGACAGATCACCAAGACCAGTTCCCCCACCAGACAACTGGACTGTAATTATTGAACAGGGAGGCAGCGAGGAACAGAGGCTGACGGGTAAAGGCAGACAGATAAATACAAAAAGACAGAATGGGGCTTGTGGACGGATAACAAGGTAGACAGACAGAGATAGTTACCAGAGACGCAGATGGATGGGCAACAAGACAGCTCGACAAATAGCGAGGCGTCCAGAATGACAGATTGGAAACACCTTAAACTAGCCTGCTATACCAATGACACTGAATTTCCAGGGATGTATTCAATTTGTTAGTTTTCTCAATGCGCAGACTAATAATATGAACAAATGTCACGCTCCTGGCTATTTCTTCCCATTTCCCATTAATGTGATTGGCAGACTACAGAGCGGATGGGAGTAAGGGTTTGTAGTTGCTGTGGCAACGGCCTGCTCTTTGTTAAAGGCTACATTCCTGGCATCTGATGTTTCTGCGCTGCGATCGATAGAAAAGCCAGCCTGCAGGGACTGATGAGCGGACTGCAGCTTTTGCCAGGCCAGACAGGAGCGGGGAGGGAAAAGGAGTTAGGTGGAAGATGTGTGAACAGGAGGACGGAGAGATAAAACAGCGATAGGAAGAAAGAGGGGAGATATGGAGATGCGTGCTGTGCTGCCGCGGAGGGGTGAGTGCTGTGGGAAACAGAAAAGAGTGTGTGTGCTCTCCTTCTGCCTCATCTCAGCTATTTTCCGAATGTCACTCACCTCACTATCAAAGTAAGGTATGTGTCTGTCTGTGCGCTCATCATCTGCTTACCCTGGCTGGATTTTGCTTTGCAGTGATTGACAGAGCTCTGAAGGCAGTCAAAAGCTTTTCAAAGGGCACCTTTCATATTTCTAGCATTTTTCTTTTTCGCCTTTATGATGTGCATTCAGATATCTAATCAAAGATAGTCATTAGCTGAATGCAGATACTACTGGTGATGAGGCAATTATGGTCAGCCTAACTGTCTACACAGTTGTCAATTCAACAACCTGTGGCTGTTAGAGGTGTTTTTCTGTCAAGGTCTGTGTCTTTTCAAGCTGTTAGGAGACATGAGTCTCGGAGAACATAAGGCTTTACAGTTGAACCATGCATCCCTCCTCTAATTAACCCTGTCGTTATCTTCTCTTCCCGTAAAACCCCTGTGTATTGAGACTGGCATTGGAGAAAATGAACGAAATGTAATGGAGAAAGAAAACCCTCACAAATCAATCAAACAAACAAAAAACCCACCATTTCTTTCCTACAATCCTAGCAAACTTTTTTCTAAAATACCGTACAACTTATAAAGACAAAACAATAGGTGTCAGATTTATTTTATTTCTTGGTTTTCACGTATCCTGTTATGTAAAGCAGATAATGCTGCCATACCAATATGTTTTTTATAATAATGAGCTGACAGTGTGCCGAGAGTGTGTGTGCTTCAGAGACAAGCAGTGACTGCAGTGATGTTACTCTGCCCTACCCTATAGACTGGGATTCAAGCCTGCAAGTAATGCACAAACATTCAAAAGCAAATGTCTTTATCATAACATTGCTTTGAAAAAGCTGGGACATTTCAGGAATAAAGGTAGCACTTCAAAATGCAACAACTGAGATATTTAAAAAAGCAGTAATTTGCAATTACAAACAGAAACAGATCATTAAAGCAATGAAGCAAATAGAAAACAGCTGTGGGGATTATGTAAATGTGTTATTTCCCATGATCATTGTGCTCATTGCTTGGTGTTATATGGATCTTTAAAACGTAGATATTATGCATTCTCTACATAGAAATGATGTACATTTAAATGCCAGAATTTAGTAACTATAGAAATCAGTGTACTCAATGTATCAATGAGCCTGTGAAATGACTTTTTGAAGATAGTATATATTGTAAAAGAGATCGTTGATCTCAATGGTATTTTTACCTGGATAAATAAAGGCTACAAACAAACAAACTAACATATTGTTGCCATTCTGGGGTTATGTGAGCAATTACTGCTTGAAACTCATGGAGACAAACAAGCTGCCACATCATTATGTTGATTTTATGTTTTGGTTAAAACAATTGCAATACAGTCCATTCAACACAACACCCCCTCAGACACACATACTGTGTACAGTATACTCACCATTACCATTGATGCAAGTAATTCACATGCAGCAACACCAAATCCACATGGACATTTAGCCTCACTGCACTCTAACAAGGGTCATTTCTCGCCATCAGGCTGAAACATCGACCATCCGCGTGAAACATCCCCAGTTAGCCTGCAACCTTTTCTGTTAACACAGTGTTGAACGTTCACATTTTTCCACAGATGAAATTTCTCTTGCTGTGTCTTACTCGGCTGCTAGTTTAATTGTATCATATCCACCTTGCCAGGAAAAAGGACAGTTCATTAAGGGAGAAAGTACATGGCAGTTTAAAGAGACCTAAAGAGTAAAAGGTTGAGCTTGTAAAAAGGCGGGGGGCAAAGACGTGAAGTCCATGTGAGTGGGAGTATTCTAACACATGTTCTTGTCTTCTGTCTTGCAGAGCTTGTTCGTGATGGTGCCTTGTATGGACAAAAAGCTGTGCCATGACAGAGGGCAACGCGGGTAAAAGAGACATGCGACACCCAGCCCTGAACCACTGCCACCTCTTCCTGGGCGGGGCCTTGCTGCTTCTGCTGGCCAGCCCGGCTCTGAGCTGCCCCGCCCGATGTGAGTGCTCTGCCCAAAGCAAGTCGGTTAGTTGCCACCGAAAGCGTCTGCCCACCATCCCTGAAGGCATCCCCATTGAGACGCGCGTCCTAGACCTCAGTAAGAACAAGCTACGTATCATCACGCCGGACAACTTCTCCTCATTCCAGCAGCTGGAGGACCTGGACCTAAGCGACAATCTTATCAGCGTGGTCGAGCCCGGCTCATTTCGTTCACAGCTTTCTCTCCGCTCGCTCAACTTTCGCAGTAATTTAATTCAGCTGGTTCCTGCGGGCGTGTTGTCAGGCCTGACCAACCTCACCCGCCTTGACCTCAGCCACAACCGCCTGGTGGTTCTTCTGGATCATGCCTTTCAAGATCTGCGCAGGATGGCGTCCCTAGAGGTGGGTGACAACGAACTGGTTTTCATCTCTCAGCGGGCCTTTACAGGCTTACTTGGACTCCAAAGTCTGACCCTGGAACGTTCCAATCTGACAGTGGTTCCTACTGATGCTCTGGCACATCTGCACAGCCTGGTTGAACTGCGTTTGCGCTACTTGAGCATTAGTTTTCTAAAGCCTTTTTCTTTTAAGAGGTTATCACGGCTCCGCCGACTAGAGATTGATTACTGGCCCTGGCTGGAAACACTGCCTCCCCTTTCACTGCATGGCCTCAACCTCACAATGTTGGGCATAACCAACACTAACCTGTCTGCCTTCCCCGGCGCGGCACTGCGCAACCTGCCCTACCTCACACATCTTAACCTGTCCTACAGCCGCATCCAGCACATCCATCATGGAGAGCTGGGCCCACTACCACACCTGGTAGAGCTCCACCTCCAAGGGGCTCAGCTGATTTCTATTGAGCCCTTTGCATTTGTGGGCCTTAAATCTTTGCAACTTCTGGATGTGTCACAGAACCGCCTGGACTCTCTGGAGAGTGGAGTGTTTGCCTCACCAGACAGCCTCCAGAGGCTCTGTCTGGGAGGAAACCCATTAATGTGCGACTGCAGATTGCTTTGGCTCCTCAATAGCCATAAGCCCCCCTCTCTGCAGATTCTGGATGTGCAGCCAGAGTGCAGCGGCCCTGAGCATCTCCTGGGGAAACCTCTCCGTGACCTCAAGGAGCCTCTGGTCTCCAGATACATGACCTGCACCAAACCACGAATTGGACCCAACACGACCCAGCTGCTGATGGCTGATGAGGGTCAGCCTGCCCGCCTGAACTGCAGGGCAGAGGGAGCGCCTCGGCCCTCGGTGGTATGGATTTCACCTCACAGACGCTACATCACAACCAAGAGCATTGGCAGGGTGGAAGTCCAACCAGATGGTACCCTGGAGATCAAGGCAGCGGAACTGCATGACAGCGGGGTGTACTTGTGTATTGCCAGTAACCCTGCTGGCAATGCTAGCCTGTCGGCCTCTTTAGCTGTGAAGAGCCTGGGACTTGCGGACAGATCTCACTATACTAACAGGAGCTCAAACTATCTGTCAGACTCTAATAGCACATGGGGGAATGGGACAGTACTGTACAACATGACAGTCCCTATAGACCTTAAGACTATCATTATATCTACCGCGATGGGCTGCCTGTCTTTCTTAGGTGTGGTCATTTTCTGCTTCCTGATTCTGTTTATCTGGAGTCGAGGAAAAGGACGACATAAGAGCAACTTTGATATAGAGTATGTCCCTCGCAAGTCAAATGGGGCAGCAGCAGAAGTGACAGAAACAAGTGGCCCACGACGGGTAAACATGAAAATGATTTGAAAAAGATGCAGACTGATGCATATGATGGCATAGTCAACTGCAAAGTGCACACACATCAACTGACAAACAAAAGTGATACTGATATAGTGGGTGTCAATATGACAGTGATCTAGTGATAAAGTGGGCATGTGAATATAAAAGTGATATATGAAACCGTGGACGTGTTTATTTGAAATAATGTTCTCATTGAATATATACTATAACCAACATATCAATATGAGAGTGATATAGTGCTGCAATAGGCATGTGTTTCAGTGGTGATGTAATGAGTAATGATGTTGTCGACTCACCGTGACATCAAGGTGAAGAAGGGAGCCGCTGGGACTGACGGGACATCTTGGCGTGGCAATCATCGCTGCAACATGTCAGGACTAAATTGTGTAATACCCATCTTAGCTGCAGTATGAAAGGTGTGTGCTATGTTCATGTATGAGTGTGTGCGTGTATGTGCGAGTGCATCAGTGTGCGCATGTTGCATTTGTGCGTTTCTTTGTGCATGTGCACGCATTGCCTTTCTCGTTGGACGGAACAATGAAAAAGAATGATCGGGTCCAATGCATTTTCCCAGGCCTTTGTTCTTGTTCGGTCATTGTAACAACAGTATTGTCACTGTTGAGTTAAACAGAGGTCTATCTATGTTTGTATGCAAAATCACAGTTATTATATTGAAGAGAAATGCTGCATCAATTTTGAAATAGGTCATTGTCCCCCTTGGAATGACTCAGATTTTTATAAACTCAAGGAAATGTTAAACACACTCACAGTAGTTACAATGTCAAGTCTGAGCTTTTTGTCTTTATCATAGAGCTCACTTACCAGCAACACTAGACTCTTTTCCTGAGAAATGGTAGTGGTCAGTGTTGTTATTACTCTGGAAAAGCTTCCAGCTACAGAAATGGGATGTTAAACCCATTTTATAACATTATAAATCATGGGCAGATTTTCCTGCCAGGAAAATCCCTTGATATGATATAAAAGAGTCGCTCGCCAGACACAATGGTGAAGATTTACTGGCCAGTGCCCTCTTTTGGACAAGGTAAAGTTGAGCTTCGTAGATTTATGGGTTGAGTTTCCCCCCTCTCACATTTTTCTTTAATCGCACCACTTCAAGCTAGTGTGGCCGGATTCTTCCCTAGGGCACCATGGGGTAGTGGGTATTTAATAGATGGCAATTTGAAAGTTGTAGTGGAATCTTGTATTGTTTAGTTCTTCTGTTGAAAATGTTTTAAATGTAAAAAAAACACAAAAAAACAGTAAAACCAATTAAGGGCAATTCTTTGTAATGCAGGGACGTGGGTGTTAACTTGTGTGATCCTGTTGTGATAAAATGTTCAAGGTTGTATAATTGTTTTCATATGACAAATGTATGGGTATATTTTCAAAAGGAAATAAATCTTAATCATACCCCTAAAATTGGACTTCCAATGTTCTGACTTTACAAACATTTTTCCTTTTAAAATCCTTTTCTAGTCCAAATTCCTTTTCCCGAAGTTGATTTTCTTTTAAACCATTTTTTAAATCATGTTAACAATTACATTTTGTGTCACAAGTTTTCCAAGCTTATTTTTGCTATGTTCATCATGTCATATAGTAAATATTCTGTTGTATCTACCCAACACGTCTGTCCTTTTTACTCTACTTTAATATAACAGGGACAATTTGATTTGTAAATTGCTTATTTCTTCTTGCTTTTTAGCAGCCTTACTTGACAGCCCAGCCTGCCTTCTGCCTTGTCTTCAAGATGAATGACAACCACTTTGGGAATTTGAATTTTTTCAATCTTATCTCAAATATAATCATGCTTACACGCTCAACTAAGTTTATGGACATGCCCAACATTAATCCTGCTAACATCAGCATGTTAATATTGTCACCATGAGCATGTCAGTATGCTGACGTAAGCATGAAGTACTGCTGTGCATTATTAGTCTTGCAGAGAAGTGCTAGCTGCATGTGGTTCTCTGAAGGGTCAAAAGTGTACTGAACACTGTTAGCCATTAGCTTGGCTGTAGACTGTGGAAACAAAAGACTTCCTGTCTCAAAACAAACCTCTCTGTTCACTTACAGTGTGGGCTATGTCTCTTGGTTTTGGCTTAAGTGGAGCATCTTCTCACACATAACAAAGTCATGACAGTTCTGACACATTCTTGATCGTGTTTTTCATATCAAAGTTGCTACAGTTATTAGCAAGTCCTGATTTGATTGTGCATCACACTTCCATGTGGTCCAGGTGGGAAGTAAAAAAAGTGGACTCCAAAGAACTTTTTTGCTGTTCACACTGATCAGAAACCATAAAAACTGGGACACATTGAGGGAAATGTCACAATTGGGACTTTTGATTTAGCATGTAGGCTATGTAGCCTAAATAGCCTATAAGAAAGTGAAACATAGGCCTACCACATAACAGGACCTGACACTTAGGCTGCAGCCACACGGAGACGATACGGGTCGTATCCGCTACAGTTCTCTACATGTATCATATAGATGGTTCGGCCACACAAGGCCGACAGGGAAACGCAGAAACGATAACGATAACGGGTCCCAAGGTGGGTAGATCTGCAGACACAACGCTCTGGGGGGCCAAACGGCTCCGTGATTACGCCCTATACGATCATTTCCTGATAACGAAAATACTGACAGGCTGTCAGGAGAGGGGGAGGAAAAGAGAGACTCCGTATATTATTCTTATATTATTATATAGAGTCGTTATTTGTTTTAAAGCTCAATAAATAACAAAGAAGACCTTTGACCGGTACTTTTATAATTTTGACCGGAAGATTTTAACTTTAACGGACATGTTGACCGGCGGAACAAAATTATAACGGAAACTCTGCCGCACGGTTCCCTCGTCCTTTGGAAGAGGCGGAGAGGTGGGTGTTTTTCATCTGCTGGTGGACTACCGGGGAGATTTACAGCAGGAGCACACGCTTGCCTCGGGGAGGGAGAAAAAGAGCCAGAGCCCTGGCCCCTGCCTCTCCCCACCTCTGCTGCTAAATCCACGAGAGGGGTCTGCCTGCAGACCTCCACTCTCAGGACAGTTCCGGTGCAGACCTCCACTCTCAGGACACCTCCACTGTCAGTACAGGAAGTGACAATTCTGACGTGTGCTAGCTAATAGTGATGCTAATGATAGCTAATTCCTAATAGTAGTAGGCTATGTGTGTCGTTTGTACAGTGCTACTTATATGTTATGTAAAGCCTGCATACTTATATGTGTTTTATTTCTGTATTGTTACAGTTTTACAAAGTAAAAGAAGAACAGTAAAGTCAAGAAAGAAAACCTTGCATCTTTATTGGAGGACTTTTAAATGTTAGCTAACTGTCTAGCTACGCATAGGGATACACGCTGTAAGGGCAGAACAGTTCAATCAATCTAAGTGATGAAAAGTGATACTGTACTGATATTAACTACAATACAAGGTGTTCCTATCTATATACGGCAAAAATTGTCAAAATCCGTTAATATATGGATGAGTGGGGAGGGGGGGGGGGGCTGGACACAGGCCGTGGGGGGACACCCGAGACCGGGCAATGTCCCCGGTAGAAACCGGGTGCAATAGATAAAACCGGGGAAAATAGGGGGGAAAGTGAAAAAAGGTGTCCGAAAATAGGCACTCGTGAGCAGTGTTGGAATAACACGTTACAAAGTAACTCGTTACTGTAACGCCGTTATTTTTGGTTGTAACTAGTACTCTAACGCATTACTTTTTAAATTCAGTAACTCAGTTACCGTTACTACATGGTGCGTTACTCCGTTACTGCGTTAGTTTTTTTTATATAGTCAACAGCCAGGCGAACAGAGATGAGAACTGTACTTAAGTACAGTACTTGAGTAAATGTACTTCCTGTGTCACATGCGGAGACGGGCTGTGGGCGTGTTTGTGTTGTTTACTAACAAGACTATCATGGCGGCGGCGGAGCTCAAGTCTAGTTTCTCCACCTGGAGATATTCTCACTATTTCACTTTTGTCGAGCACAAAGAAAAGAACGTTTTAGTTAAATGTAAGTTGTGTCTTGGCAGGTCAAAGATCCTATCTACTGCCCAAACCAGTCATTCAAATCTCTTAAAACATCTGCAAAAACAACATGCTGGGACGAAGCTAGTAACTAAGACCACAGAGACTCAGCCGACGCCACTCCACCTCCACCTAAGCAACAGCGGCTGGATTTTAACCAAGGGACTGCTGGCCAGGGAAAAGTCGATAAAGCCATTGCACGGTATGTTGTAGAACACATGCAGGCTATTGCTACAGTGGAGTCACCCGCTTTCAGGGAGCTAGTTAGCATGATAGCATGTCCGGGCGGCACACGGCATATGGGACGGAAAACTTTTTCCAACTACCTGGAGAAAGAATATACAAAAATGGAAAGCCAGCTAATATCGATGCAATCCAGATTGCATATAATGCATGTCAAGTTGATCAACAGATTGTATTATTCTCCAATGCAATAACAGTACTGAAATGAAGAGGCGCATTCACACTGCGGTACTTTTCCCACAAAGGTTCATGTGAACTTAGTTCATGTGAACTCTTTTATCGCGTTCACACCAAAAAAAGCCGGTACTAAAATTAGTTAATGTGAACCTTTTTACCCCCACGAAACTAGCAGGGACTTTCGAGCGGCTCTTTTGTGAGAAAAGAGCTACATTTCTGATTGGCTGGAAGGATTGCAAACCACGCCCCGCAAAACTCCCAAAAAGTTTTGTGAAGCCGCCATTTTATTATCCTTCCATTAGCATTATTAGCATTAGCATTAGCCCAGCGCAGAAACGCAGAGAGACTAACTTATGGCAACACAAAATAAAACATGGGAGTGGTGGAGATGAGGAGGTGTCGGCGTTCTGGCGATTTACTCGGAAGGCTTCAGTAGAAGCTGCTGGGACTCCCAGCAGCTTCTACTGAAGCCAGTCCCTAACTCCGGGGACTTCCAGGTGGGGACTTTGGGCGGCAGTATACTCCGTGAAGTGGTTTGCGGCCTGCCAGTAAACCCAAAGCAGAAGAAGAACAAGTGACGTCAGCGGCTTCATTTGCCTAATCCACCCCCTGGGACTTTGTCCAGTGTGAACGCGATCTGTACTTAGTTCATGCGAACTAAAGAGTTCACATGAACCTTTGTGGGAAAAGTACCGCAGTGTGAATGCGCCTAAGGCTATAAGGGCATTAATGGGAGCCTTTTTGTTAAGTAACTAAAACGTTACTTTTCACAATAACGCATTACTTTTTTGTGTAAGTAACTAGTACAGTAACTGAGTTAATTTTGAAATGAAGTAACTAGTAATGGTAACTAGTTACTGGTTTTCAGTAACTAGCACAACACTGCTCGTGAGGCGGGCAGAGTTCCCTGTCAACTCCCGTTACATTCCTCCATGGTGTCATTTGAGCGAAAAACTTTGACGAGAACCAGGCTGGGGGGGGTCAAAAGGGCTTGACCAAGGCCGACCCAAAGTGCACAGTGGACGGACTCATCACCTCCGTGATGAGTCTCCATTGTGATTTGAAAAATTCCATCAAACGAGTCCTTCGGTGGGCGGGAAAAAAAACGTGTTCGTCAGAATCTTCACTTCCTGTACTGACAGTGGAGGTGTCCTGAGAATGCAGCCTGCACCGGAACTGTCCTGAGAGTGGAGGTCTGCAGGCAGGCTCCCATGAAATCCACCGCGGAGAATAAACAGAAGGGCAACCATGGCAACCATGCCTGCTCGTGAAGTCTTCTTCGCTGCTTTTGGTGTATTTTGTGGCAGAACAGCGCTACTTACAGGCCCGGCATATGTACTAAAGCGTCTCCAGCGGGTCGAGTGGTCTCGTGTGGACGGACACGTTTCTAGTGCCGATTGCGTGTGGACGGAATACTTTTTTGATATTGAATTTGGTTCGTTACCGTCTCCGCGTGGCTAGGGTCTTAGTTAGGCACATGCCTGTAGGCCAATTTCTGAATTGATAAAGAGTTCTCAGCACCTTCCTTCTTCACTGCCTCACCTGAAAGTCAGATAAAAGGAAATACTAATTTGGTATCCCTATCAAACAAGTCTTATTCAGACAGCACTTCATGCTATCTTGCTAACTTGTGTGAAAGCTCACAGGGAATATTCAGGGTACTTCTGTGGCACCACAAAAACAAGATCAAAGTCACTCCAATAGGCTTTTATCATTATAGGTTCCCTTTTACAGAGCGAGCGCTGTAAACAATGGAGAGGAAATTTCATGAATCTATTACTGTAGTATCTCCCATTGAAAAGGGTTTCTGAATCATGATTCAAGTTCATACAAGCGGTAAACAGAGTGTAATTTGCTTTAGAAGTTTAAAGATTACCTTGCTCAGTGCTCTGGCAAAAAGGAACATGCTATTAGCATCATCTATCGCAGTAAATATGTGGTGCCAAGACTTTAAGTGAATTAAATGAGTTTGATTGG